CTCCTCATGCTTAGAGACAACAGCCAGAATGAGCTGTTCCAGCACTTTTCCAGGGACGGAGGTGAGGCTGACTGTAGTTGCCTGGGTCCTCCTTCTTGTCTTTTTTGAAGACTGGCGTGACATTGGCCTTCTTCCAGTCTTCTGGCATCTCTCTTGTTCTCCAGGACCTTTCAAAGGTGATGGAGAGCAGCTTAGCAACAACATCCGCCAGCTCACGCAGCACTCTTGGGTGCACAGTTAGGGTGCACAGTTTTGTGGGTATCGAGTTTACCTAAGTGTTCTCTAACCCCATCTTCCTTACCCAGGGCAAATCTTCCTCTCTCCAGGCACCTTCTCTTGTCTCTAGGGTCTGGGATTCCAGAGGGCTGCCCTTGGTAATCTCTGAAGTGAAGAAGACATTCAGTACTCTGTTTTTTCTGTGTCTTTTGCAACCAGGGTACCCACCCTGTTCAACAACAGACCCATATTTTCCCTGATCTTCCTTTTGCCACGGATATCCTTGAAGAAGCTCTTCTTGTTATCTTTAACATCCCTTGTGAGATATAATTCCAAATGTTTCTTAGCCTTCCTTCTCACATCCCTGCATTCTCTGACAGCATTCCTATATTCCTTCCAAGGGGTGTGTCCTTTTTTCCACATTCTTTATACTGCCTTCTGTTAGAGTTTTGCCAGCAGCTCCTTGCTCATCCAGGTGGGTCTCCTGCCCCCTCTGCCTGACTTGTTACTCATCAGTAACTCAATCAGTACTCAATTTTGAGTTTGGAGGAAGCGCTGCTTGAAAACTAACCAGCTCTCTTGGGCCCCCTTTCCTTCTAGAGCTCTAGCCCATGGGATTAATCTGAGGAGATCTCTGAAGAGGCTAAAGTTGGCCCTCCTGAAGTCCATTGTTGCAGGGCTATCTACAGCCCTGCTTCCTTCTCGTTGGATCCGCACTGCAGGAACCTCCAGGACTGTTTGTGCCTGGCTGTGTTGTCCTTCCAGTTGATGTCGGGGTACTTGAAGTCCCCCATGAGAACCAGGGCCTGTGGCTGAGAATCAATATCCTGCTGACTATAGAAGGCCTCATCAACTTCTTGCTCATCCTGGTCAGGTGGCCTGTAGCAGACACTCACCACAGTGTCTCCCACATTAGCCTGCCCTCTAACTCTTACCCACAAGCTCTCAACTCACTCATCATCCACCCCCAGGTTGAGCTCCATGCATTCCAGTTGCTCTCTCACACAAAAAGCAACTCCACCACCTCGCCTTCCCAGCCTGTCCTTCCTAAAGAGCACACAGCCTTCCATGGCAGCGCTCCAGTCGTGTGAGCTATCCCACCACGTCTCTGTGATTCCAAGGAGATCATGATGCTGGGACTGCACACAGATCTCCAGTTCATCCTGTTTACCCTTATGCAGCGTGCATTGGTGTACAGGCATCTCAGCAAAGTAATCGAGCTTGCAGGTTTCCCAGGAGGGGTGGAAGAGGACCTTTCATAATCATATCTTATGTTAACTTCCCCACTTCCATGATCCTGCTGGATGCATTCTGACTTTGGCTGCGTCACACTTATCATCCTGTCCATGTAACACTCCTCTTCCCCCTTCTTGCTTAGTAATAAATGCATATACTCATTGCTGCCTACCGTCAGGGTTTGGTCATCCTTCTCTCCGGCATTAGGTGACTGCATGAAGGGAAACAAGAACAAAAACAAGTGTCAGATGGAGCATGCATAGACAGAAAGGCAGTAAAAGACTATATACACATGAGCTGATTCTATGAATGTTACGATTTTGAGCTAATTGACCTAAAGATTTCTAGAGATTAAGATCAAATTTTGTATCATCTGATTTGTAGTCCTACATTTCATTTTAACTTTAATGAAATTAACAATTGTGTTTAACAGGCACCCAGAACTCCTGCCACCACAGAATTACGTTTCCAAAATACACTGAAAATTTTGTAATAAAGTCATGTTAATTTTATACCTACTTCATTTAGCTCCAAGAAGGAAAGTTAACACCAGAACACATGAAATGAGAAACTGCAGTAAACAAGTTCTAATTAAAACAAGACACAGTGCAGACTCTAGACTCTCACCCTCCTTTCCACTTGCTAGTAAAGTGTTTGGCACAAGCTGGCACCTGAACCATCTCCTGCATACCCAGGCATTGCTGGGGGCATCGCTCAGAGCAACAGATGATGCTCATGCTCGGGAGTGAGCTACCCAGGGCACTGATGCTTGGACAGGAGACACGCATGAGCATTAAGTATCGTGGCACGAAGTGCAAGACAAGTAACTATGAGCTAACACTGATACTGGAAAAGACCACTTGTGCTCTGTAATAACTAACAGAACAACTGAAATCTTTGCATTGCAAATGTTACAGCAGCCATTAATATTAATTTCAAGAATGATCTCTCGAGGTCTCTTCCAACCTGAACCATTCTCTGATTCTGTGAATGGATAAGGAGGCAAAGGAAACAGACAAAAGACCTTTGATATAATAAGGAAACTATCTGTTGCCTGTAAAATTACATTGACACAGTGTGAGAATTGGATAGAAACAAGTATGAGTTTTACTCATCTATTAGAGCAAACCATAATGGGAAGAACTTTTTAAAAAGTGGAAAGAAAAGGAAAGGAAAATACAAACTGTGTGTTTGCATGTTAATTCTTAATTAATTTCTTAATTTGAATATTAAAAAAAGGTTTGAGCATAGACAAAAGTATATTATGCATATACCTGAGTAATTTAGTCAAAAACAAATAGATAAGTAACAGTGCTTTAAGGGCAGAAGGAATTGAAAGTGTTCAGCAACTCTCTAAAACATTGAGCACAGACTTAATATTGGAGGCATACCTGAAAATCATTGTAGTTAAAGGTAACAATGTTCTTTTACTTGAAATGGAACCGATGTAAGCTTAGTGAATGTATAAAATAACTAAATTGTTATTTTTACCACATAATTAAATTTCTATAATTGATGATATAAAAATAAAAAATAATGAATTAGATTGTTCATATACATTAAGAAAATAAATAAAAAGGTAAAAATATATATAATTAAGGATTCTTCCTAAGAGTACAGAATGTGATATAATGCTGTGATTTTTTTAATTTTTTTTTTCACACTTGATCAATAATGCAATTGTTCCTGTGCTTAACTTGTCAGTCAAGTTATGCTCTAGCAGAAATGTTCGACACTGAATGTTAAGGCAAAAATGTCCCTGCAGTTTTTTTAAAAAACAGTGCAAGACTCTGCATTTTGGAGATACTAATTACAAATAATTTTAAAATTATTATATAGATTAAAAATATCCATGCCTTATAATAGTGGTTTTAATTTGCTTGTGGAAAATTCAGCATCACTGTTGCTGTTTACAACCTGTATTTGATAATATTTTGCCTTATTAGAATAGCAAATTAATTTATTTTCATATTGTTCCTACTGTTTATATGGAGATTCCATTTAGACATTCTATACTAGGAAGTTTGGATTTTACATACTATACAGCCAAGTATTGTATTTCCCTTGTAGAAACATTTATTAGTCAGACATGTTACAAAACCTATTAATGTAACACAAAATTTACAAACTAGCCGACAAAATTTACAAACTAGCCCAAATTTAAAATGGCTATATTTCTTTACCCTGATTGTGAATACTGTATTTTTCGATATACTGAGGAGTGATTTTTAAATCATTTTCTATAGGGATAACTTTACTCTTAAATCATGGTAACCACAGAATATCAGTTTCCTCATGATAAGAAAGGGATGAAAATTAAATGTAACCTATGTTTTACTATTTTCTGCAAGAGAGTAGTAGTGGAAGAATACTTAATCTTTTCCAATTTCGTATTATAACTTCTCTATCAGTCATAGTCATGCAAAATGAATACAGTGCATTCCAGTAGAGTTATTCAAAAGTATTGAAACAATACCTCTCATTACACTCTGTTTCAAATTATAAAGCAATTAATCACTAAACATTTGCTAGATTTTTATAGAAGTCACTAAACATAGATAGCATAGACAGACAGTTCTTAGAGGTCATTCATCCTCCTTTCCATCCTGGTGATTTTGTCTTAAAGTTTGCTCTGTCTGTGCTAAAAGCCTGAAACCATTTTATTTTGGGAATAATCCAGATCAAGTCTATTTGCTAAGAAGAAATGATCTTTAGTATTCCTTTCACACATCTCTACCTTTCACTGACGTAAGTCCATTATTGATTAAACTCGATGTCTTCCTTTTCAATGCTCTTCTCTTACAACTTCTAGAAGCTAAACACCTATCTCTGAAAGTGTCAGAAATATCTTCACCATGTAACAATGCTCAATAATGTCAGATAAATGTCTTTAAAGATATTACATTTGATTACTGATGAATGAATTGTTCAAAGGAGTCTTGTTATATCTTGTCAGACAATGTTGATATCAAAGAAATTAGTTCAAGTTAAATAAATAATATGAAACATTTCTAGAGGGGGCAAAATAACTTCCTTCCTACCTTACTGTGTAACAAATTACAGCTAAACAGAATCCAACACCAACATGGATGCCCAAGCAGTTCTTTACAGTCTTTAACTGTTGTAAGTATAAGAAAATTTTTATCTTTTTAAGAAATATTTATGATTGCAGTGATGTCCAAAAATCTATGACATAAAAGCATTTGTAGTCTCACTGCTAAAACTCTTTAAAAAATGTAAACCTAAGGAAAAAGATGCCAAAGAGCTAAGTGACCAAATATATTAGGAGCACTTTGATACTTATGCCCACTTTAAGAAAATGTATAATATTTGGCAATGATTTGGGAGCTTTATTCTTGGAAAACTCCTGAAGTAACTCATGCAAGAGATGTTGCCTAATTACAAAGTAGATCTCCTTCAGCTTTCCTTTAAAACAAACAAAACAAAAATCTACAATGAATTCCATAGTAGCCAAATAAGGGTTGTAAACTATCAAAAGCTTTTCATCTCTGGTACAGAGTATTAATAAATGTTAAAAAAGAATGGCTAGTAGCATCAACCACCCACTAGACTGCCCCATGCTCTATGTCAAATCAGAATCAGATGGCTGACAAATTGCAGCTCTATCTTCCATTTTAGTTTCAGAAGTAAATTTAGAACTAAATTCTTTAGTTTAAGAAATAAAAAAAATGGAGCAATTTGCTAATTGCTGACCCCATCCCCTTCACCTAACATAAGGGAGGAGGCATTTGACTTCAGCTCCATCAGCACCAAGAAAAACTGTTAAACAACAGCAGGCAATAACATGACTAGATGTCAGCATCCTTTCTAAAGAGTGGGTTGACTTTTGTTTTCTGCTTGCTACATCTTTGCCAATGATGATAACTACAATGATGCATTTTTTGTTAGGCCTTTTGGGGAATAACGAAAGTTCATGGTGTTTAGTGGTTGGCAGACTGTGGTCCTGAATGAAGTATGGCATCTCTAATTACCGACAGAATACAAACCCAGAGAGGGTTTTGCTAACATGTCTCAAGCATGTATTTTAGAGAAGGACTTCTATGAATCTCTCCTATACTTGTTTTCAAAAGTAGAATCTGAACTATGCAGTTTTACACCTTTCAGTGAGCCACTGTGCATCTGTCATGACATAAAGTATAGGTGGTAGTTTTCTTGGTGCACTGGTCTACCTAACCTTTCCAAGATACTTAGGCTTAAGGAGGTTGGGCTGTTTTTTTTTAAGATGAGTTGCAGAAGAATGAGATGCATTTCAAAGGCAACCACTGTAGTCAATCTAGTTGACTTAAAAAAGCTGGATCATTTTAAAAATGTAATCTCCTGGGGTATGCTAATAGTGTATTTGGAACAGAATGATTAGGTACTTCTTGGAAAATATGGGCACAGATAGCCTAATGCCTAACTGGAAACCAAAGCAACAAACTCAGCTGGACATGTTTCAGAAACAAATCTAATCAACTCAGAGAAGGAAAAAAAAATAAAGCTTTATTTTTGCTTGGTTCTCTTTATATGTACATCTTTGTGTTTTGCCAGACGATGAGCTTCCTAGGTACATATTCTGGGCCTAGTGCAAATCGAGGGATACTGTGAGCTACCACAACACTTTTCAGCTTGATCCTCCAGCAGATATATTTTGGCTGCTGACAGGAACTTGGGAAAATATTCACCTTGTAATAAAAAGTACCATGCTAGCCCCAACACATATTCATGTGCTATCTTTAATGCACATATTAATTTGCTATCTTGTCATGCACAAGCATGACATCCTGGCATGGTCTGGCATGGTTTAGTATTATTGCACTTAGTGTTTTAGTAGCATTGCATTTAGTAACCTTGTGGCTGCAGTGGACTCCAACTCAGTTTCCTCTGGATATTCCTGAAAATAAAAGTTCCCCCTCACTCAGCACCATGAAGTCCATGAAAGTTCTGTCACTTGCTGCAATGGGGCCATCACCATTTGCATGATGAGGTGACATTTCTTTTTAGCCTGCTCCCTCTTTTATAGAGAAAAACTGTCAGTGACAAGAGGGGAATATTTCTGTGTTTAAACAGTGGTAAACTGATCGTGGGGATTTCAACCTACATATTACCTGCTTAGTACATCATTTGCTAAATGTGACCTGTGACACAAGACTGAGACTCTTCCATTGCCAGTAAAATCAATCCTATACCATTTTGCTACCAATACAGTTA